CAACCGTAGCCACAATCACGTGCACCATTATCACGTGTGTGTGTGCGTGTTCGAATCACGGCTTATTTCCATTTTTTTCAATGGGAACGCACGGGTGTGTGCGAGCACAACTGTTCACCGATAAATAACAAAGTGTTCATTTTTTCAATTATTTACACTGTGTACCAAATAAATCACGGTACAATCATCTTTATAAAAAAGAAAAACAAATGATCCATGATTTGCTAGAGGACGGGATACTTCTAGGTTGTCCACATCAAAACAGGTGAATTTTCCAAGGGAGTTCAAAACCGGAGCCTTTAGATAGCCAAAGCCTGCCCCGGAAGGAACCGGGGCGGTGTGTGAAAACCGCAATCCACTGAGGCCGGTGTCTAGTTCATTGGATCATACGCTCTTCGGGCGGAGTCAAACGTCCAAGGTGCAGTATACATCTCAATGACCAATGGAGCCTGTGACCACTACGACAACCAGGACGGTGTAAGCGTGTGTAGTTCGCATGCCTCTCCTTGGTTGGTTTGGAATCAGGGTCTTAGCCAACTCCCCCTCATGTGAAGTGCCAAGCGTGGTTCACCAATGCGGTATATTGACTTTTCGTCCTCTCACTTTGCTGTGAGAAAACACCTCCGTCCCACGAGAAGGTGGTGAGTAGGGCTTCCTCAGCAGAAGTTATTTGAGACGCCTGGTCGTATGGGAGCATGTCGCAAGGTGCAAGGCAGGGTTGACCATCCGCAACTCGAGACACCCACTCCCGACCATACTAAGGCTTTCGGAGGAGTAAAGAGTTCATACCAGAAGTTCAGATGGAAAAAGTTTGCGTTTTTTTAGCTCATCATGTTGGTGAATTTGATGCTGATAGCATACCCTACAGATTTAGCAGCAGCGTGATTAACCTGATGCAAGGTTTAAATCAGCATCATCGATGAAGTCTGAAATAACTCTCACATTGTGTTGTGTACATCCTTTAACATAGTTGAATTTATTTTGTATACTATAATGCAGGCCATACATATAGGTAGAGGGGGTCTATTTTTTCACTACGAGTTGCATCAGTTTATTTAAAATTGACGTAAAACCTAGAAAACGCTCTCAATAAGGCAGTGTATTGTATACACTGTAGAAATTAATCCCCAAAAATGTCAAAATGAAATGCAACAGACCAATAGTGACACTCCGATTGTGATGGATAAACGACATGCTAGTGTGTCTTTCGTTGTTTTCTGGCATTTTGAGACAAATCACCTATATCAGTCGCCCTCCCCCCCTACTCCAATTTAGGGAGGAAGAACTGTGGTTTCTGCTGTTTTGAGCTCACCGACAATTATATGGTGCCTCCACTTTCAACACCGCGAAAGAACGCGGTACGGTTTGTTACTGATACTATTTTCTACAATGATGCGGAAAAGAAACTGGTGCCGATTAGATGTTCGTACAGTTTGTCATGATCTTCGATCCCACTGCTATAGTTGCGAGGATATCAAAAACGATGGTTCAATGGAACTAAATTGTTGATAGTTCACATAATTCTTAAATACATGCACGCTCGATTAGTTTAGCTGGGAGAATAAATCGTGGTTGCATTATTTAATTAGCCTGTTGGAACAGTTAAAATAATGCCTGAATTATTAATTTTAACAATAACTGTGCAGTAGACGCCCCTCCAAAAATAACATAATGACGGAAGTACAAGAGCACAGAGCAAGTAGTGTTTTTGGGGTATCTGCATTGAATACAACTTCAGTTGCAGGGTGAGAGAGAGAAAGGAGACCCAGTGACAACCGACTAGATTGGACAGTTTACAGAGTTCAGTTATTGAGGTACGTCATCGTCAGTGCCAGTGTGCGTTCTGTTTTTCCATATCCGGTTTGCCTCACCTGGCAATCCAAGGCCGTAACCAGACTACCTTGTCTAACACAGCTACACCGGAACGTTTCATTGCATTGCTCATCACAACGAATTTGTGTGTGCCGAACAGAGTATTTTTTGAACACGACAACTTAACGATTTGCACTTCATCGCTAGATCGCACAAATCGCGAGTCTCTTCGTTGAGTTCTACTTTGACCTTAACCCAATCGAGAACATACGGGATTCGTTGCCTGTGGCGCGTGTGTATCCAATTACCCAGGTATACAGTTTCCTTGTTCGACTGAAGACCGCCTTGGACGCACGGTTGGAAAAATGTACCGCATGAACTCGTAAAATGTTGTCCAGTAGTATGCATAGATAATGTTTTTCAAGGCAGAATGTATATATATTATCTATTGATGTAAAACAATTTTTCTATATTTCACTACTCCAAACACTTTTGTCGCAGGTCATTTCAATATAGTGTTCAATGTCTCAGTGCTAATTTAGGATATCCCATTTGAAGATGTCGAGCTGTCAACTTAAGATGTCTTGTTAGTAGTACGTGAGCAGTAAATTTATGCAGAAATTTTAAATTGTCACGTGAACGTCTGAAGATTTAAAAAACTATGGTGTGACAAGTTTGCGCATGTCAAAATTCGTTTTATTGGGTCGAGACGCTTCTGAGACAGATTTTTCCAATGGTGTAATTCTTTTTTATCATGAAACTCTTTATTCACATTGAACTCTAACATTTAAATGAATAGAACCGAATGGAAAGCCTGGAAAATGCAGTTTTAGAACAGATTATGATAGTGGTGGCCCGGTGGTACCGTCACTAACTTATCACTCCGGGGATGTGTTCGAATCCCACTACCACCACCGCTTGACTTTCCCCATTGTGTGTGTGTGTTGAATGGCAGCCCTTTGATCGGCCCATTCCGCCTTTCTGACAATTGTATCATTAAGTGTATTCAATAAAAGGTAGTAAAATGAAAATGAAATGAAAAACGGTCAATGACAATAGATGAACCCCATCAGAGAATTCAACTTCATCGTTTTTTTCGCATTAAAATCCTACGTTTTATATGCATGACCTGAACATAATCTGTTTCTTACTATCACTGTCAACTTGAACTGGATCATTTTTAATCTCCGTCCATTTCATTCCTTTCTTTTGTTCCCATCCCCCATCTGCCGTTCTCTCCTATCTTCACGNAGGTGTGGATGTGAACGCGACCACTTGCATGGGTTCAAACGCATTGCATCTGGCCGCGCAACAAGGTCACTCCAAAGTGATCTACATTCTTCTGGAGAGCGGAGCAAATCCAAACATGCGAAATAAGGTAGTGTCTCTGTTTTGCCCATTTTTATCATTATCATCGTCATCATAAGCATCGTCGTAACCCGGTCCAAACGATCAACTCATTTCGTAATCCTATTCTTGTAAACGCTAGACGGTTTTCGTTCTTTCCACCTCAGACGAGCTTATCTGGTTCAGATAAGTATCGACATTGATCATATCGTAAACGTGACCCAAGCGTTCCGACTCTTGTATAGAGTTAAAACGGGACAGTCTAGGTTGAGAATCAATTCGATTTGAAATGAATATCATTCCGACCCTGGGGAGAGCAGAGGTGTATGCTACCGAGCGCTTCCCCAGGTCGCGGATAGGGGAACGGCTGTCATATCGAGGCTTAGACCCTCCGAATAAGCGGTTGCGGACGATCAGCGGTAGCGCTCGAGGATCTGGTAGGTTTACCTCCTGACAAGGATTCCCCGTACAAAACACCACAAACATCTGTGGTCAACGCAATGACGTAGCGAGTGTGACCCGCCATTAAATGAGACCCAACTTGGTCGAAACAGCTGCACAGGCTTCCTAGCTTTTAGTTCACATTTCATTTGCTTTATACACGACGAATTCCTTCTGTGATATCCGCGACTGTCAAACATGTCTCAGGTCAAGATGACTGGGACGGTCGCACTATTGTCATTATTATGACATGCGGATCAATTGTACTCTGTTCTCCGCTTCTCTCCGTCCCAATCAGAACGGTTGGACTCCGGGTCACGTGGCCAGAAGACAGCATTATTTGAACATTTTTGAAGTGCTGCGTCAGGTGACGACATGTGTTGAATCGTGGGAAGCAGATGATGAAGAGCTGCTGGAACCGAAAACCGTGGATGGTGAAGCCGCCCGTGCCTTGCCGGATGGCACGACACGGTTTGCTCCGGGAACCCGTTTGTTACTCGAACAACCTGATGTCATGGCAGACCATGCAGTCACTGATACAGAGGAAGAATGTGGTACGAGAGTTGTTTGTGTGTATATATGTTTCTTTTGGCTTCAGTCTGTCCACTTTCTCCGTTTGTTTTCGTCTGTGTGTGTGTGTGTGTGTGTGTGTGTGTGATCAGGCGGCAAGTTGTCCGACTCGAACCCAAACGAAATGCAACTGAACAAGTAATAAGGGTATGTCTATCATACGATTGACGTGGTCCACTAACAGACACCTCGCTCGTAGCTGCAACTCCTGAATGGACAATTACTGATAAGTCTGAACCACATATCCTTGCTTGGTTATTGGCTATTGGTTTCGTACAGTAGTCACCGTATTCACCTTGCACATTGTCACCGATTCTTGAACTGGCAACCTGTTACCATTATTTTCCCCCGTTACTCGCCGAATGATTATATATGTAGAAATAAGTTTCAACAGTTCCGATCTATTAAAGTAAGCATCTCGGGGTTGTTCGAAACTGTCCACACGTAGCAAATCGGTTCTCTCTTCGCCAATCGCTTCTCTGAGTGGAACAACGATTTTCTACAGATTTCCTCATCAATCGTGATAGCATTTCCAATGGTATTGTTCACATGAAAGACTTATTTGTGCTTTAGTTAACCAGATACATCCAAAAGCTGCTTTATTTTTATCCCTTAAAACGTCAAACTTACCGGATCCGTGTATATTTTTTTTCTGTGAGTTCGTATTTCTGATATATTTGCGATGGGTTAATAAAATCACTAACGTGACAGATAATTGGGGTAGTCCAGTGGTTATAAGAAACCCGATGATCTTCTGCTGAAACATCTCATGACAAGTCCATGCATGACACACAGTTGGACAGCTCTCGTCCTTAAAACCGTTCATTCACCAAGATTGGCTCACTGAATATGCTATACTTATTTCTAGTACACGCGAGTTTGTTTCACCTCGGCGGTCGAACGGATTAAAACGAAATGTGATCACGTCACGATATGTGCCTTTTTCCGATCTTGATGTAATGAATAAAGAATTCTATTTGAAGGCCGACAAAGAGAACAACAATACACAATACCTATCTGTATGTGAATTCGCATGGTCCATTTAACCATCCACTCTTATTCGGATCAGGTGGCTCAGATATAGCGAGGGGGGGGGTCGTTGTCCAACCCCAAGTTTCACAGGTTGCGTTTCGGTCGGGACAAAAATTCGTTCCGATCACCGATGATTCTTAGCAGGAATGTAATTACTGACCACTATACCCTTGTTGGTCGGTCGTCACACACACACCTGTTTAGATGATCTTATGCGTTCATTTGAATATTGTCAGACTGTTCCCAAGATGCCACAAGACTGGGTTGGTCCAACTCTCCGCCTTACTCTCACCGGGGAAGTGATCAAGCAAGTGAACACGTTTTTTTAGACAGCTACATCTTATAGATGAAGTGTCGGCTCATCCATAGAAGGTTCGACTGGCATTTGCCTATTTGAGAAGTCTGTGGCACCGCCGCCGCCGCGACATCCACCCGTCCGTGAAAGGTTTAGTGTATGCTGCGGCAATTCGGTCAGTTCTGCAATACAGCGCAGAAACCTGGCCATGAAAAAATAGGATAGACTGACGGTGTTCGAACACCGATGTCTACCCAGTATTGCATCATTCTGGTCGAGAAACCAGGCAAGCAATGCTTAAGTTAAAAACATAGTTTTAACTAACCGCGGTCGTCCACTGGAGCACGTGGGCGACCTCCATAGATCACGCTGTTTGGGGCATGTTTTGCGCATGCCAACGACTGGACGGTAACTGCGCGTGCTGTTTTGTGAGGTAGGTTTTGGGTGGAAGAATAGGAAAGGGTGATCAAACTCAGACCTGGCATGAGAGTTTGAAAACCCTACCAGGAGACTTGATCATATAGGTCACGTTGGGCCACTACCTGGTTGGGGATGTCGGGATCATTGTAAACAGTGGTTAGAGACGCTGAGTGATACGGCTTCGTGTCATAAACATTGTGACTCGTGCATCGTCTCATTTTCTTCATAACCTTAGTCTACTGAAATGGAAAGCCAAAAGGCAGCAATTAAAATCAGCACACGAAAGTTCATGGTTAATGGTTGGTCAAACTGAAACTGAAACTGTTTGTCACAGATTAAACCAAATAGTTGTACACATGGGTGCATATCAGATTGATAATGAAAAACGTTCATTAGATTGAATGACCTGACCGACGATTACAGCGCCGAGAAAAGCTGGTGGTTGTCGAGTTTCCGTTTAGTGAATGGCGAGAGAAAATATTAGTTCATCCGCGATCGAGTTCTCTTGTTTGTACATTCAAACAAATCGCACATATGGGGATTGAGGATTGCCGATTTTCACCTAACTGTCTTTTTGAATTCCTAATGCATCAGAGAATTTAACCCCTCCTCTATGTTTCGTTTTCTGCTCTTATGACGTGCTCTGTGCTCTGTTCTCGCTCCTCTCACGCATTGGAATGGAACGGATGCTTTTCAGTCGAACCGGATTACACAGTGATCCCAGCCTCGCCACTGTTCTCCCGTTCGGCAAGTTCCGGACAGGCAGGTCTGAGTCAAATGGTGGACGGACGTAGCACAGTCGGGGCAAGAGTGAATGGATTCAGCAAGGGTGGAGCGGACAAATTGTCTACTGTGTCAGGTACGTGATCTAGCACGAGCAGAACTGTGCACAAAGGTGACCTGGATCACTTTGAATTTGTCACACAGAGCTAATGTATCTTGCACGTTAGATTGTTTCAGATTGTTGTATTGCAATGACGTTCATTGATGGGATTTTGTTTATAGCGTACATGTACAAAATGCTCGAGGCTATTGTTAATAATAATAATATTATTATTATTATTATTATTATTATATTCAGAGTGTTGGCCCGCAGAATCCGAGACCGATTTTCCCCCAAGGTCACATGTATTAACTGCTGATAAGTGCAAATAAATGATCGACTGTTCAATTTTCATTCTCATCTCGGCAGTACTGGGTGCTATGCACCCACATGGTAAGAAAAACGTCCCCCATTTGGAATAGGGGTCCTCATAATTCCCACAAGCACGCCGGGTAATCAGTGGTACGGTCCGATGGCAGGTACGCATTTACTGTAGTTACAATTTTGAACACAGTAGTAATTCGCTCTGGAAAGTCTTGTTCATTCCTGACCGTTGTGAGAAACCGCCAATCGCATCCTTTCGCGCACTCCAACCATACTATTCACAGATGTGAGTATTACCTCACAACACTGGTCCAAATCGCACTGGGTACCAAGCGTTTCGGAGCTTCGTGCAAGTGCTTATTTCTAGCATGCATTGTATTCAGTTGAACGCTTTTGTCAATCAGACTGATCTTTGACGCTTTCCGACCTCTTCCAAGGGACTGTAGAACGATCGAATATGTCCTCTACTTTCCCCCTTGAACATTATGTTATTGAATTTGATCTGCTTTGAAACCATGATCAATCAAGTTGATCGCCTCTGGTCTGTAATTCCATCGGTATGATTCATACTGATGGTCGCATAAGATAAAATTCGTTTCGATAAACTTGAGACTCGTTAAAGTGTACCGCCTAATAGCCTCAGCCGAGGAAGCCCTAGTCGTGTGAAATATATACACCGCCTAATCATGCTTTCTCTAAGGGTAGATCAAATTTGATCGAAAAAAATAATTCATGATTATCCGAGAACACTGTTCTGTTCGTCGGAAGTGCTTTCACCAAAAATATGCTCCCATGGTAAACACGTTCATTTTGATTGACTATCGTTCAGATTTCATTTCCGCACACGCACACACGCACAATCGATAGGAGTGGGTTCATCCGCTGAAAGGAGCCGTTGTGTCTTCGTACTACTGGCTATCGCAGACGAGAATGCGACTCGTACTTCCCGCGTTTGAGTTTGATGGGCTGGGCACTCGAGATGAAATGCTAGGAGTTTTTTATCCCATCTGGATAGTGATAACCTAATTCACACCTCTATTCCCATGTGACTAAATGTGAATGCCATGGTCGAACTAAAGCAAATTTAGTTCCAAACGGCCGGACAAGTGAGCATATTTTTACTAAACAACTGCATAGGGTTGATTTTTTAAACACTCTTTTCTTCTTTTAAGGTATCAAGCTTGGATGAGCCCATTCGCTTATTAAGAACCACCAGGCATTTTTTATGGTCTTGGGTGTGCCTCTTAACAATTAAATGGGCTAGTCCAAGCTTGCTACTCTAAAATTGATTGAGCCATTCGAACAACGTGATGACCGTCGACCGTGTAGCTCAGGGGTAAGAGTTTGAAATCCCAACCCGACTGTTGGCGGAGGTGTCGAGTTTCAGGCAGTCGCGGTCGTCCACTGGCTTTCGAAGGGTTCGGTGGTACCCTGTAGATGCTTCGAAATGCTTCATCGTCAACCTGATGCCAGGTATCCGCAAGATGGGCTACGATTACACTTGAAATCGTTTTTTCTTGTGTCTGAATGCAGCCAGGCCGGTTTGTGTTCCTTGATTCTTTGGGACAATTGCCTGGTTGTTCTGCCCACATATCTTGCCGGAACCTGAGCAAATAAAAGAACAGGTGAACATGGATGAGACATGGACAAGCAATTTATCTTTAAGGTTCACGGACATCACCGGTTGGCTCATGAAAAGGGTGCGTAGTTGGACGACAGGAAAGGTTCGGGAGATTGCTTTTTCTAACCGGAAATGGGAATTTTCTCTTCTCATTCTCTTGCTGCTTCATCTAATTGGGCAACCGAAAAACAGCAATCAAAACCGGCGCACGATAGTACATGGTTAGCGGTTGTTCGAACTGAATTTAACTGAACTGAACTGGGTTGTATGGTATGATCGGGTCCACCAGTCTATATCCAAGCTGACCAGAATCACTATTTCAAGTTTCCCCAAATCAACGACAACAGGTCCAAGGAAATTATCAAACAAGTGCCTCTATAGTTTGTTTGTTCGATAATAAGCACCGCATTTGGACAAAACCTAAGCAAGCCTGAGTTACCTCTGTTCGTGATCATGTAGATCGCGTGAGATTTATCGAGATTCTACGCGAGATTTGGCATACGTATGTTTTGTTTATTCAAACTCCATTATTGACCACAGTTGAAATCTGTCACAAGAGAATCACTGTTGTGGTCCGCGCTAGAAATCCGATCCGGTCGATATTCCGGCATTGCACACTTTTCATTGTTCACTCCCCCCCCCCACACACACACCGCCCAGCCAACACCTGTAAAGACAATAAAACAAAGCATATTCTACATAGCTTTTTTCGCCTGAAAATCGATTTCGGAGAGCATCATTTTCTTCGCAAAATAAAAGGTGTGATACCGTGCACAGCTTCTGTCAAATTTTTCCCTTTCCTCTAGTCCGGGTTACTTAATGACTGTCCACTTGTAACTCTGTTCTTATTTATCTAACTAAAAGTTTACGACTGCTCATGGTAGAACTGTAATAGCAAATGTTATCACAGAAGATCATACGTTATGGTTTGATGATACAACACCTGGTCGAATGGGTCGGTTGTGTTAGACCAGAGCTCACAGAACCCGTCAAGCCGCACACAGATCCGCATCACACCACAAGCGTGCTCGCGACGTACACGGCAAATCGATTCCGAATTGGATCACTAGGGCGAATGAGACAGCTGTCGTCCGATCGATCAATCGGAGTGTCAAGGACGCGATCTGATTGGTGCGTCACCACGTCGTTCCCGTGCACCCAACTTATATTTGCCTACCTTATCATGATCATAGAACATACACTCTGTTGTTCTAAGGTCGTGTTCACCCCCTCCCTCTCACATTATTGTTGGGAGCTAAAGAAGAGGTGCTCGTGTCGGTCGTAAGTCTAGGCGGAAGGTAACAGATTGCGAGCGATCTTTTAGTAAATATCTATGTTTCGGATCCGCTTAGAAAAATAATGCCTGTATCTTATAATAGGCAAACATTAGAACAATCACATTATCGCATAAACATTTTCCCGGATGGTGTATCGCTCCATAACTGATTATCCTGGGATGATTCTCTACCAACGCTCAAGCAGCACAGGGTTCATTCATTGATCGGTTGGATTGTTCAGCCACAACAAGGAACCTGGTGGTTGCCCAACCAACCTGAATGAGAACCTTCTGCTTGTCCAACAACCTTGAGCCCAGTGTACTTTGACTGTGCACATCACCACCCGGCTGGAGAACAGGTGACGACGAGAGAGTTACAAACACTACTATTCGTGTCCGGTTGACGAATTCCAAGTTGTGCAAATTGCGGAAAATGGTCCAATCGGATGGCGGAGAGAATTGGAGGGAATAAAATTGCCTGAGGCCACAGATGAGAGAAATAAGACGATGTAAAACGATGAATCGATCGAGTTGTATATCGAATCTTATTAAATTTATTGAAAACATCGTGTTCAGATCCGGTTCAGTTCAGTTTTCTCAGGACGAAATGTGCTTCTTACCAATCGCACGTCCAGTTCGTTGTGTTGTGGGCGAATGTACTGTGCTATCAACAACGCGTATACGATGGTTCAATGGGTTCCTTCTTGACCAAACCATTGTCTAATTTACAGATTATATAGGTAACATTAGAAAACAGATCACACAGTTAGATCACTCTGTCTCGAGTGTGTCCGCCGTCCGATCACAATATCCTCAATGAGGGTAAACAATGGTCTTATATAAAGATGTAAAAACCTCCGATTGCCTGCTAGTGACTGTTGCACACAGGCGAAATAATTCCCCTCTAGTCTTGTTCGCTGCCTTGAGGCGCTGAGCTGAGAGTTCGAAGTTCTGGTTCATAAAAACCCCGAGGTCTCTCATTTGTGAGGCCCATTGCAGCGGTAGACCGTTTACCACGTACGTGCTGGGTCTGGTGGCCAACAATCGACATTTGGTGAGATCCAGTGGCAGATTCCATTAAACAGTCCATAAATAAACTATGTCTAAATCCCTCTGCAAGTCTATGCCCGTCATTTTGACGTCATCGACAAAAATGAAGGAAGGAATTAGGATGTCCTGTGCCAGGTCGTTTGTAAACATTAGGAACAATAGGGGTTCTAACACAAAACTTTGAAGGTTTGTACCGATGGTACCCAACGCCTTTGCCGCAAGACAAGTGAGTCTCACTGTTCGGTATCGTCCGAACAAATTATCAGTTCAACCCTGGAGACATCCGGTGTGCTGCCACCTCTTGTCTGTGAATCGAGTTGAAATAGAGTATGGCTGTCCACGATTGTGCTGTGCCAGTGAACAAGTTCCAAACCAAGCACATGTGATCGGTTCAAGCCAGCTGTAAATCAAAATTTGCTGTATACTTGAACGTTCACCTCACGCTAGATGAGCTGTTTGCTGACATGTCTCTTTGCTTACAATACTTCTTCGTACACACACGCACAGACCTATGTTACCTGCATGTGGTACTCACTTGCTTGTCTGACACGCATCCTTTCCACAGACTTGCACTTACCAAGCTGATTGTACGGGTCGCGGTTGCTTTGGCACCAGTCTATGTGCAACATGGTCTCACTTGAGGACGAGAGCACAACTGAAACCATACTGTAATAAAAATTAAACCAACACAAGGTGACACCATTCTAATCGGTTATAGCAGCACGTCCCTACACCACCACCTCTGCAAACCTCATGGTATTGTATCGTGCTAGACTTCGCTGTCCGACAGACAGTAATATAGACTGACGGGATATGCGCTTTAAACCACTCTGTTCATCTATAGCTGTAGTCAGGTCGAGGCTATTAACAGGCCTGTGTGTGTATGTGTTATCAGGCCCAAGATTAGCGATCAATGAACGTGAAATTGACTCCGTACCACGACGCCGTGTCATGGCACAAGGTACTGAAATGACCAAGTCCAAAATAACCGGGAAATGTGAATAAGCACCAGTTCGGAAAACTGGGTTTTGCCAGCCGGGAATCGAACGGAAGTTTTCGTTCGTAAATAATCGATTCTAATTTCGTGAGCAGAGCGTTATCGATTATTTGATTACTCTGTCGTACAATGGTTGTTTTGACTGACTGTTTAAAACGAAATATAACAAGAAAATAGACATTGCATAACTGTGGATCATCGCAGTGGAGTGTTTGAGCTGAAGCGCACAAACTACCAAAACAATTGTTCATCAACAGTGCTATTCAATTCTATTTTGAACTACTCTCATATTCGATACAGATGGTCATTTTTCGATCAGGTATTGATATCCGAGCTGCATTCAGTTTTCTTAATTCAATATATATATATATGTCACATATCTGTGATTCAACGAAGATTAGTAATATCACATTGAGGTAAAAACAAAAAGAGTGATATCATCCGCTTGGCCCTTATGTTTTCCCCTGGAATAATACATACGATCATACTAGTCATATAAAGTAAACAGGTTTGATCACTCACCGTGATTTTCGGACGATATACATACAGGTGTTTGTCACCCCGATCATCCTATTACAATCCTGACTTGCGAGAAAACATTCATTCAGTCTTTTAAATTTCCGAGTAGGAAATTGGTTTTGTGACATTGCTTTTGTATTACGTCTGTTATTATTTCCGTCCTATTGTGGGAGCACGAAGACTAACAGTCCAGTTAGGCCTTGGCACCCGTTCTTGTCTCGTTTTTTTTTCTTCATTAAAATTGCATAAAATTATCCCCGTTGGGATTTTCTTTCCGTAACCGAATTGGTCAACATGGCATGCCAAAAATTGAAATAGATCGATATAATAAAAAGCGGTTGGATAATATTTTCGCACTGTCCAAATGCAGCTCAATTTGATTATTTTTTTCCCGCAGCAGCCAACTTCGTATTTGTGCAGATCAGAACAACTATTGACATAGATAATCCTAATTTCAAGCTTCCTGGACTAACCGTAACCCCTGTATGAGTTATAGTCGTGGTCTTACGGTCGTACTGTGCCATTTTGTCCAACTCACTTCTATCTGTCCGACTCGGCAAACACACGCGTCGAGTGTTCATCACTTGGTCTATAGACACGCTTATTGGTTTACGATCGATCGATGCAGATTGGTTACTACGCCCATGATTTTGTGCGTCTGTGTGTGTGTTTGTGTATTGACACAGCTGACAGGTATCGTACGACTACGTTCGTACAAAGATGCAGAATGGTCGCGACACTACACAAAGACAAAAAAGCCCTGTACCTCTGTATCAATTTATCATCATGTGTATTTCGCCAACGCATCCAGAGCAAAGCTTATACCAATCAGGAATTCTTAGTACTCATCATCTTAAATTTGTTGTTATTGTAAGAATAAATTCTGCAGACATCAAGCCTACATGGGAGAGGGGGAGAAAATAAGATTAAATCTCAAAACCAAAGTCTGTCAAAACCTGTTTTTTTTAACCAGAATACATGCGAAAGACGGTACCGTCGAGTTACGATAGGTGTTTATTCGAGAGGGAACAACAACGGTATTCGAATGTATTTGACGGGTGGGAACAACAGGAAGTTAGATCAGCGTTTGGCGGATGTGTGGAATCGATAAGAATCTTGTGTGCAAATCTTTCACGTGCATTCAGATGACATTCGCACAGGTTAGTCACTAACTCCTCCAGCGGAATTGAAGAGACGCGGCTAATGATGGTCAGTCCATATCGAAGCGGTTTAAAATCTTTCGTTAGAAGATTAGAAAAAATAAACAACAAAGTAAAACGGGAAAAACAGGCGGGTACACTAATTTGGGAATAATCGATTGTTGAATATGAGGCTAATGATGTTTACAGACGTGGAAAAAAGTCTCCACAGTTTACTGACAACATGTTGAATGTGAGAGATCCAATCATATA